TGTATAAAAAAGAAATCACTTTTTAAATATATTTATTCAATTTTTTAAGTAATAAATATGATATTATATAGTTAAAAAAGTCCTGATCATGTTTCTAAACATAATCCAAAGATAAAAGAAAAGGACCTGAATATAGGCCTAACAAATACTGCGGTTTGCACAGAGGAGCAGAGGAGAGAGTAAAAAAGTTAACGACGTTTCTGTATACTTAACGGAAGGGACTTGATTGAGGCAAATTTTACTACGTGGGGATACAATTGACACTTTTTTAAAAGGAGAAACTTAATTGACACAACTCACCAAAACTTGGGACAAAATAAGCTATTAAACCTAACAATAAAGATCTTCAAAAATACATTATTAAAATACATTAAAAAATAATACATCAAAACATATAAATTATATTATTAAAATATCTCCAAAATTAATATAAAAAAATAAACTAATAAAAATAAACTGAAAAATAAACATGTAACTTTAAATGGATGTGAGCATCCGTCAACAGATGTCAACATCCGTTTAAGGCAAAACGGATATCGACATCTATTTTCCCTTAAACGGATGTTGACATCCGCTGAGGGATGCTCACATCCGTTTAAAGATTATATGTTTATTTTTTTAGGATTTATTACGCACCTTCATGACGAATCCTTCTAGCACCACCACACCATCACCAGACACCATCTTGACACGACTGATCAATTGCTTCCACCAGCACTTGCAATCTCTCACTAAGCACACTAGTTAATGAAAGTCCATTAAACTCTAAGACCACAATTCTATCACAATTAAAGAATGAGAGGAAGAAGTGGAATGTGAAAAAGAGGAAGAAGAGCACAATGAAACAAATAGGGGACGAACGATAAAGAGGAAGAAGAGTTGTCGCTGAATACATGTAGAGGATTGGAGTGGGTAGAGGTTAAAAAATATTAACCGTAAAATTTTACTAAGAGTAAAATATGAATGAAAAAATAAAGAGAGGGATAAAAGAAGAATGGGGTGTTGGAAGAAGCAATGGATGGTGGTGAAGGGAGTAACACCTTTAAGAATTTGTGAGTAAATTACAATAAAATTTAATATATATATATATATATATAATAAGAATTAAAAGCTTAGATAATAAAAAATTTAGGGATCGGATCATATCTGTGGGACAGTTAATTAAATCTATATTAAACTATAAGAAAGACTTAAAATTAACTAATTAGGTGAGAGATATACAAATTATTTAAGTGGATAATTAGTTGGGTTGATTTTTCTTTTTCTTAGGCTTTCAACATCCTAAACCCGTTTAGTATTTTAACATATTATACTCCTTAGCTCTTCCTATTTGCACACTCAATCTTTACTATATATCACAAATGTCACCCTCATTTATTTCCTATTGGCTTTCATTCTGAAGTTCAACCATCTTGTTTGTCAGATTGATTTTATTGTGGGCCGTGAAATTGAAGTTGGAGGTATCTACACAGGTATTGTCACCAATATAAAAGAATACGGCGCTTTTGTGGAGTTTAATGGTGGCCACCAAGGCTTACTCCACATTTCTGAGTTGTCATATGAACCTGTATGTATGATTTTAACTATTTTTTTTGGTTGTCGTTAAGGGTCGTGTGTTGGGTCTGCTAATAGCAGGCAAAACAATTTGTATGTAATAATTTGTCTTTAATGACTGCATACATAGGTTTCCCGAGTTTCAGAGGTTGTCTCTGTTGGCCAGAAGCTTTCTTTGATGTGCATAGGCCAAGATGTTTATGGTAACATCAAATTATCCCTTAAAGCAACTTTTCCTCGTCCTGGAATATTGGAGACTAATGATGTAACTGAAGGATCTGTTACGTCCGCAAAAGAAACAGACGGGAATGCGTCTAGAGTACAAGAACAACAAAATTCTGCTTCTCAGTTGTCTTTAGGTGATCTTGAGTCGGGTGAAGCAAAATCCCCAACCTCCCAAGTACCAGTAATTGTAATACGTAGTGCTGCAGAGTGTGATGAAGAGGAGAAATCTTCCAAAGTTCCTCAGGTTGATAATGGCGTCCAATTGGATCGCAAGTCAAAATCACGTCCATCTCAAAATGCAATTCATTCTGCACCGAAATCAAAATCTCGTAAATCTCAAGATGTTATCGATTCTTCAACTTCTCATTCAGGTCCCTTGCCATATACTAGTGCTAAGAAGACAAAACTTTCAATGCAAAAAGAGTCAACATCTGATCTTCAAAAGCAAGAGGGGGGTGAACAAAAACCCAAAAATAGGGCTTCTGTAACTGCAAAAGATCTTGAAGTTGGAACCATAGTAACTGCTAAAGTATATCAAGTTCGTGCGCAGGGGTTTGTGTTGGATTTGGGTGGAGGAGTTCGAGGAGTGTACCGATTTGAGGTAGGAATCCATCTTTGTATTGTCTTTTTGTCTGCACCATGAGCCATTCAATTCACTTGCTAACCTGTTACTGTTCTATCGTGCAGGAAAATAATAGTAGGGACTTTAAAATAGGCGATGAGATGCGAGTGGTGTGCTCAAGCTTTTCTAACAAGGGAATTCCTGTATTGTCTTTAGTTGATGATAAATAACTTCCCTGTTGGTCGTTCATGAGAGTCCATATATTTACCCTGCCATGGCTTGGAATATTCAAATATAAGGTGGTTAATAGTTTTGGTTATATGGCAAAGTGATGGTAATGCTCATCTTGCAAGGACGATGATTTCGGTGCAGCTGTTTAGGTTCAAAATTCTGTAGTGATTAAACTAGTTTACCAAAATTTTTCTTTATCAGTTGCAATTGGTGAGTTAGAAGAGATGAACTTTGTGATCGACGGAAGGCATGGACGTGGTTCAAGGATACTGCATGATTGAAGAAAAACAACTACAATTACTTGACACAACAAATTGTAGATTGATGTTATCAGAGTAAAGGCTAATAAGCACGAACAGTGTTATAATTTTATTGGTGATGAGAAAATTTCCTTATGCTCTTAACCTTTACCATGTATTATCACTAGAGTTTACTGATCAATAGCAGAATTTGCAGATTTTCGTGTTAAAACATTGATACGTCTGTTATCTATCAATAGATGTGGTCATTGGCAGTGAATTTCATTCATTGCAATTTCAGTGTCAGAGTGTTTAGGTGATTTTTTTCTTTGGTGTAAAAGTTAAAGAAATAAATACCAAATTTTAGTTGCAAGAAAATATCCATAAACGTAATGTTATATAATTCTGATTATTCTTGGTTAAATTTAAGAATTAATATTTTTTTTATTCAAATGAATTGTCTTGCTCAACAAGTATACTTGCAGTAAGAGGTATATTTGAAAATTTTATTTTTATATGAAAAATAGAAAACTTGTAGTATGTGTTGTGTGAAGTGGTGATTATTTGAAAGAATCGTTTGACTTAACCAAATTAAAAACTTCACAACTAAAATAAATTCATATAGCTAATGTTACGATTTTGACCAAAAGATTTGTTAGTTGTATTTATTTTCTAATTCTAATATATATTTTTAATAGTGAAAGAGATCCAAGATAGCACGTAACTGAGATTGATTATATATATATATATATAAAAGTTAAGGTTGGTGGGAGGTTGGAATAAGTCCGAAAACTTGTCTTTAAAGAATATGACTTCAGAAAATAAGTATTAAAAATAACTTAATTAAATTCATATTTCAAGAA